GGTTAGGTTATACCAGCCAGCCAGCCACGACTGTAAATAATAATCTAAACTTAGTGTGTGTGTCTCCCTCTCTTCATCCACATTTATTATTTAATTTTTCTCTCCTTTTCACCACATTCATTCTCACTCTTACTATACCCTCACCCTCATGGCCAGTGGTCGCCCTCACACAGGTGGCGCCGCACCATTGTCTCCCGAAAATTATATGCCAGCAACACAAAAGCAAAGAAATGTATCTGAACGTCCTTTCCCATGTTCTTATCCAGGAAATTACACTTACCTTTGGCTGTGTGTGTATACCATATTCCTCTGTCCTCAACAAGCTTTACTCTCATCCCCGATGTTCAGTATCTCTCTCTCTCTCAATTCCCTCTAATCTAACCCGTGTCTTCCTCTTGACCTGATCAGCTCACCTCAGGTACGTTTGATCATCTCTTCCTCCTCTCGTCGTACCACATGACTAAGGCGTCTCAGTGTTGCCTCTCTCATCTTATTGCTTATACATGTCCCACTTGCTCTCTCAACCTGCCCTTGAATGACACTCTCACTATCCCTCACAACATCCTCATCTCACCTCTCAACAAGCTCTTCCACGGTGCCTAAGTCTGTGCTCTTTACAACAACATTTCACGCACACAAGGATAAAGTAAGTGGGAGCAATATCCCTTATAAGAGATATGGTCACCGACATCCACTGTTCCGAGAAAGATTGAAAACTTTCCATTGAATACTATTTATTTTCTTTCATCTTGGTCAATAGAATGCTAGTGCGAGCTAATAAATTCTCTGTCGTTGTTGTCATATGATAAATATATCAACATACCTCCTCACGAAATATAGAATGTTCAGGTAACAAATATCTGGACACAAATAACACATTCCTCCCCTTCAGGCATCCCCCCACAATTCTACCGCCCTTCGTCATTCTCAGCAATTTGCAGCCAATCAGAGCAACTGGCATGTGGGGAGGAATCTTGCCTCAGCCAATAAACAGGTCGAAAATACCAGTCCTTATGTTCTCACTGGGCAGCCTTCTCCCGGTGATGATTGTTTTTGGAAGAGAAATTGAATATCTTCCTTGTTCTCAATCCTGATGAACACTTTATTTTTATTAGGGTGATGAGGGAAAGCTGTGTGAAATTCCCAATGTATAAACCTGTCTGACCACACTCTCTTTACCTCCCTCCAACACCCATATCTTCCCTCCTTTCCTCCCTCCAACACCAATGTCCTCTCTCCTTTCCTCCCTCCAACACCCATTTCCCTTTTCCTTCCCCCAACACACACATATCTCCCTCACTTTCTTCCTTCCTCCCCCTCTCCCTCACTCTCTCCATCACCCTCGTCACTCTCCCTCCCTCCATCCAACACCCTTGTCCTGGAGAGCCACTTCCCCTCAGCCGTGATCAACATTACTGTATGTTTACGTCTGAGAGGAGAGGTGCTAAGAGTGTTATTCATGTCATTTAAGACCTGTGATGAAAATTCCCTCTCATTCCCTCATTTCCCCCTCACTTTTCTCTCCCCCTTCCCTCACCTTCTTCCCTCCCATACTCCTCATCTTCTTCCCTTCCATCTCCTTCCTCATAGTCTCCTCTCCCCTCTTTCTCACATTCCTCCTTCCCCTCCCTCTCACCCCCCCCTCCCTCTCACCCCCCCTCCCTCTCACCCCCCATCCCTTCTACCCATAATTTCACCCATTAATAAGACCACAGTTAAGTCCTCATCCATACTTACGAGAGACCAAACTACCTCATTCTTCTCATCTTATAAACTGCTTGTACTTCTCGCTACATCTGCCAATCTTGATTTTCTCCGTTATTCCAGTGCACGTGAGGATTAGACACCCTAGCTTATTTCACCTTAAGATTAACCCTCCTAAACCCCTAATTTAAACCTAACATAAACCTAACCAAACCTAACCCCCGCCCCCAGTAGCGGTAGGGAGTTTAATCAAGTGAAAACCTGGCTTGGAGAAGAGGCGGTGATCGGGCAGCTCTCCGTCAGAGTCACCAGGCCGGGTGACTTCACCACTTTTATTTCACCAAGAAAAAAAAAATGTAGCTGTAAATTTTAGGGAACAATTACGTCTTCATGGAGCCTCGTTAGTCAGCAGGTGGTGGAGTGGTTAGCTGATGGTGTAGAGGCAGTAGGGGGGTCATGTGAGAAGGGGAGGAAGAGAAGGGGAGGAAGAGAAGGAAGGTGTGTGGAGAAGGATGAGGAGAAGGAAGGTGTGTGGAGAAGGATGAGGAGAAGGAAGGTGTGTGGAGAAGGATGAGGAGAAGGAAGGTGTGTGGAGAAGGATGAGGAGGAAGGAAGGTGTGTGGAGTGCGGCGCAGACCACTACAGGCGCGTGGGGAAAGAGAGTTGTTCCTCCACCACACCCTTCTCTTTCACACTCACTCCCGCACGCCCACACACACCCACAAGCTCTCTTTCCCTCTCCCTAGTCCACTCTCCCTTGTCTTCTCCCTTGCCCTCTTTCCTGCCTTCTCTCCCTCTGTCAGCTTCCTGCAGGACCTGGTAAGATGCACTTATGCCTCGTTTACACACACACACACACACACACACACACACACACACACACACACACACACACACACACACACACACACACACACACACACACACACACACACACACACACACACACACACACACACTGTATAACCTCATCTCTTGTATAATTATCATCTACTTCCATCTCGCTCTCCCTCTGTTCCGCGTCACTCTGTCTCTCCCTGTCTGTCTTTCTGTCCTTTTCTACTTGCATTTGCTGTCTGTCTGTTTCAGTGTGTTTCTCTGTCTGTCTGAGTCTCAATACCTGTCTATGTCTCTTGGTGTATGTCTGCGTTTGTTGTGTCTGTCCATCTGCCTGTCTCTTGAGGTACGTTTATCTACCTCCTTCACTCTCCCTTGCCTCCATCCTACCTCAGCCTCGCCTCCTCCCTGCCTCAGCCTCGCCTCCACCCTGCCTCAGCCTCGCCTCCACCCTACCTAGCCTGCACCCCTACCTCAGCCTCGCCTCCTCCCTGCCTCCAGCCTCGCCTCCACCCCCTCAGCCTCGCCTCCACCCTACCTCAGCCTCGCCTCCTCCCTGCCTCAGCCTCGCCTCCACCCTACCTCAGCCTCGCCTCCACCCTACCTCAGCCTCGCCTCCACCCTGCCTCACCTCACCACCACCAACGCTCCACCCCACTCCACCAACACCCCACTCCACCCTGCCCCACCAACACCCTCTCAAGATTCTGGGAAGCCCTATAGTTAACCCCCTCCCTCAGTTTTAATATGACTCTATAGCTGTATTTATAAAAGTCACCACCCTGTATATTATCATCACTATCAAGTCTATTATCGCATTATTGTTTATATTGATAAAGTTTCAGGATTGTTTATAAAGTGTAAACAGTAGAACTTCCTGTTGTTATGAGGTAACGAGTGTGAGAAACGTGTCCACGCCATCTGCCTCGTGACCAAGGTGGAGGAGTGACGCCCTGCTTAAGTTTCCGTCACTCAATCATGTGTGTGGTGTGTCCAGTATCAGTTTGTATGTGATGTGTTTGCTAGGTATTTGTCTATCAACAATTTGTCTGGTACGTTTGTTTGCTGTATCTAGTGTGAGTTTGTTTGTGTCCAGTATGTGTTGTGTATGATCTATCGGCTATCCCATATGTGTTTGTTTGTGCATTATTTGTCCTGTGAGTGTTAAGTTTGGTTAAGTTAGGTTAGATTAGTTTAGGTTAGGTTAGGTTATTAGGGCTGATATTATAATTATAGTTTGTATTATGATTATCAACATGATCGTTTCTATATACAGACCAAACCCAAGTCGGGGAAAGAAAAATTTATGAAGATTATCGTTATTTTGTATTAATCCTTATTTACCGGCGTCATGATACATATACTGTACTTAAGGAAACGGTACGTCTTATATTCATACATCATTAAGAATAGACGAATGTTATTTTTCCCTTGAACTTATTATTGATGGAGACAAGATGATGATTAGGTCCTTCACTATTACGGTAACAGGCAGATAACAAGACATTCTTAACAATATGTCAACCATCATTTTTAGTCATCCGTTACTAGAGTCTTAAAGAGTTTACACATAATGAATCACAGGTAAACAGAAACTGAAGGTATCAAGTTGAGCAGTAAACACAAACACATCTGCCACGGTACACCCCTCCCTGCCTGGCTCTTACCACGTGACCACCCACCCACCTCTCTTCTTCTCTAACATGTACTATAACTGTAGCAAAATTCAATAATAAAATAAATGAAGATCTAGTTCACACGTAATAAATCTTCCCCCCACCCCGGCCATATGATGACCGATAAACCCCATAATAAAAAAAACATTCACATCAAGACAACGTCAACTGAAATGAATTAAAATTTCACACGTTTACACTCGATATTGACCAAGCAAAATGTTTTACAAGTTTGAGTTATGCCATTTTAGTTGTGGTAGAGCAAAGTACAATTGTTTTCCTTTGTCAAACGTCTTGTTAAGTTAATGAACGGCCAAATCAGATTTTTTAATGACTTGTGTTCGGTGAGCCATGAAACCTAACATGACGTGAAAGCTTCAGCTGGGAGTGAGTAAGTGCTCACCTGCGCTCCAGCACAGTCACAGGTAATTCCTTTACTCCCCCACCCCCACGTATTTCATTAAGCTCGCCCCATTATCAGAAAGGTGAGTTATAATGAGCTAACACGTAATCCCTTCCCCTAGTCGTGCCATATGCTGGAGGTGTGAGCCAGAGGATGTACGAGAGACCAACTTGTCACCTCAGAGAGATTAGTTAGCAGCGAGAGCCTGACACCCCAGAGTGCAGTGCTGTGCTGCAGTACGTGGCCCTCCATCGCCCGCATACACACCCCTCAGTCATCAAAACACGGAGGGGGGAGTGGGGGAAAACAACAGCGATAAGTTTGTGTGGGAGGCGGAGTGCGACCTGCGTTATCACTGTAGGTTAACACGTCTTACTTACCACCTCCATATTTGTTGTTTGGCTTGGTGTAGCCGTGGGTAAGGCCGCAGATGAAGAGCAGCGCCCACAACGCCCACGCCACCATACTCATGCCGCTTCTGGCCACGGTAGAAGAGGACAGAGCTACCATATGTTAGATAGACCCCGCCATGACCAACGATCGATACTACACAACACACACGCGACGGGACCTGCTCGCTATCAAGGCGCGCGGCTCACTGAGACGCTGCTGCCAGTGCCACAGTGACATGCGTGTACGTTCGTGCATGTGTTTGTGTGTATGTACGTGGCTCGCGAGATCATTATGTACCATTACAAACTTACAAAGTAAGTGTTGGAGGGTTAACAATATTATCCACAGGCGGTACAACCACACAAATGTTGCACAAGGATAAACTGAAATGTTAATATATCTTTGTGTACAGTCTAAATGATTTTGTGTATATAAGAGTTCTTTTTTAACTTACAATATAAAAAAGTCCATAAATATTATTAAAGCTTCTTCTTCAGTAGAGTGAAGGTCGGTGTCGTCACTTGACGAGTCTCCGCGAACTGACAGGACGGGAGTCGTCCGCCACCGGAAATGAAGTCGAGCAGATAGAGGAGAGGAACTTGTCCCTCGTCAGGCGGTTCTAACTATCTCTCTCACTATTTATGGACCACCACCAACCTTGACTACTGCAGCCATCACACCCACAATAGGCATACGTGACGTGGGATAGAACAAGCTATTAGTTGGCTAATGTAGCGAATGAGAAATGTACCGAATTTTAACAGTGAAAGAAGATTGTTCGATCAAACACACAAGTAAAATTCAATCTTGTTTGAAGGCTACTGAAGGAGGGAACCAGGGAATGGAACGACACTGAAGTAGTTTTAAGGCGTCAAACTTTGTCAACTAAAACCAAAAACAAACACAGGTAGAAACACTGACCTGGTGTACTCTGTAAAAAAATGACATGAAGAGAATTTTAATGAAGCTCAACAGTCCTGGTCAAAATTAGTGACGGCGAGTGACTAGTGACGAAAAGATGAGGAAAACCAACACAGAGAGACTACTGTGGGAGAACTAGTGGACCACCGTCAGAGGAGAGAGACCACTGTGGGAGAACTAGTGGACCACCGTGAGGGGAAAGAGACCACTGTGGGAGAACTAGTGGACCACCGTGAGGGGAAAGAGACCACTGTGGGAGAACTAGTGGACCACCGTGAGGGGAAAGAGACCACTGTGGGAGAACTAGTGGACCACCGTGAGGGGACCACTGTGGGAGAACTAGTGGACCACCGTGAGGGGAAAGAGACCACTGTTTGAGAACTAGTGGACCACCGTGAGGGAAAGGGCCACTCTGGAGAACTAGTGGACCACCGTGAGGAAAGAGACCACCGTGGGGAGAACTAGTGGACCACCGTGAGAAAAGACCACCGTGGGAGAACTAGTGGACCACCGTGAGGAAAAGACCACCGTGGAGAAACTAGTGGACCACCGTGAGGGGAAAGAGACCACCGTGGGAGAACTAGTGGACCACCGTGAGGGAAAGAGAGCCACTGTGGGAGAACTAGTGGACCACCGTGAGGAAAGAGACCAAGAGTGTGGACCACCGTGAGGGGAAAGAGACCACCGTGGGAGAACTAGTGGACCACCGTGAGGGGAAAGAGACCACCGTGGGAGAACTAGTGGACCACCGTGAGGGGAAAGAGACCACCGTGGGAGAACTAGTGGACCACCGTGAGGGGAAAGAGACCACCGTGGGAGAACTAGTGGACCACCGTGAGGGGAAAGAGACCACTGTGGGAGAACTAGTGGACCACCGTGAGGGGAAAGAGACCACTGTGGGAGAACTAGTAATAAACTCAGATATAAATGTATAGTTATGCTGAGCTGGGCGATGACGTCATACCAGGCCTTAATGGTGAGGCCACGGTTCAGATAAAGGACTTAAGGGATCTGCTGCCATGTGTTGCGGAACGACCCGAGAGGAAAGTAATTTTCTAGGTGTTGGCCGCACGCTTCAGGTCCAACGTAAATGAAATATTTTGACTACAAAAGAATTATGAAACAATAAACAACTTTTGAAAAACATAGTTGAGAACCTAACGTAACATTTGACCAGGTAACTGATGACGTCAGGTGAAGCCGGGAAGGGCGAGTAAATTGCTACATCACTATTTTCTTTTAAGTAAAAACTTCTTATTTCCCCTTCCAGTTTACTGATATAATCATAATTAAATTGTCTGAATTCAGAACCACGATTATAATCTTAACTAAAAATGAGTAAAGTCATTCCTTACAAGTTCCTCTCCTGCCAGCCAACAGTGAGTTGTTTTATATATATAGGTATTGTTTACAGTAGTGTCTCTGGCCGATGCTACTTGTTCCCAAAATAAATTAAGAATGGGTCGTCAGATTTGCAATAAACTTCGTAGGCTTGGTTAACATGTAACACGGTCCAAGTTGTAAGCCTCTGGTAGACCCGCAGCCGTTTTGGTTGCCCACCAAAATTCATCGCCATTGTGAGGCAACTCCACGATGGCTTGAACGGCAGTGTCCTGCACACCGGCACCCAGTCAGGGTTCTTCCCCATCCAAACGGGGGTTAAACAAGGGTGTGTACTGACACCAACTCTCTTTTCCATCTTCTTGGCCGCCTTCCTTACTCGTGCCAGTGCCAATTTAGCCAGCGGGGCGAACATCGAGTACCGGGTGAGGTCTTTTCAACATAAGACGACTCCAGGCAAGAACGAAGGTGTCGGCAGCTTCCATTACTGAACTTAAGTATGCAAACGACCTCATCCTTGTTACTCACACTGAACACGACCTACAGGAGATCAGGAACACCTACACAGACGCGTATGCAAACTTCGGCCTTGAGGTGAAAGTACGTAAGACTCAGATTCTCTTTTAACCTGCCCCTGGTTCAGACACACCTCCACCATCCATCCAGCTTAACGGTACTACCCTCTCTTAATGTTGCCCACTTTTCGGTATCTCGGCTCCCACCTGTCCACCACCGCAGACATCGATAATTAGATTCAGCATCGTATCAGATGTGCATGTTAAGCCTTTAGCAGATTCCGAAATCGTGTTTTCAGCTGAAATTATCTACAAGCTGCACGTATACAGAGCAGTGGTCTTTCCAACCCTGCTATATGGCAGTGAGACATGGGTCATATACAGGAGGCACTTAAAGGCACCTGAAAACTTTCACCAACGTAGTCTACGTTCCATCCTCCGAGTTCGCTGGGAAGACAAGAGAACAAATGGCAGTATTCTTGCTGACACCAACTGTAGGAGCAACGTGGCTACCATTATCCATGAACAACTACATTGGACTGGCCAGATTACCCGCTTGGACGACAGTAGACTGCCAAAGCAGCTATTTTACAGTCAACTAACGAATAGTAAACGTAACGCCGGCGGGCAATTGAAAAGGTATAAGGATAGTCTTAAGACAAACCTGAAAAAGTGCCAAATCGACCCCCTCACCTGGAAGTCGATTACTCCACTTCGTAACGCTTGGAGGAGCACCACACGAGAAGGTGTCAATGCTTTCGAGTTAGCCCGACTGGTAGTAGGTCGTAGGCAGCTACCAAACAGGAAGGTGCTTCCGCCTGGGAAGATATTGGAAGCATAATGTGTTGTCTAATGGTAGACCCTGCTGCCATATACCATCACGAAAATTGTGACCAAGTCCCAGGTTACTGATCTGATTTTCTGCCTCATTTACACACAATTGCAGGGTCTCAATTGTTTCTCTTACTATTGACAACACAACATACATATATTGTTTCTCACTTTTTATTTTTTTTATTTCTTTATTATTATTATTATTATTATTATTGTTATTATTATTATTATTATTATTATTATTATTATTATTATTATTGTTATTATTTTTATTATTGTTATTATTATTATTATTATTTTATTTTCAAATTTGTTTTTATTTTATTATAAATTTCATTTACTATGAATAATAATAATTATTATTATTATTATTATTATTATTATTATTATTATTATTATTATTATTATTATTATTAGTAATAGTATTACATTTTCGTCCCCCAGGCCCCGATGTGGGTCAGTGACCTGTGCTCGGGTGGGCTAATCCCTGTGTAAAAAACAAAAAAAAAAAACACAAGGCAGCCAAGCGCCACCGCCCCTCCCGCAGTAGATGGAGCCCTCCACATGTGCAACGAATGTGGACGACGCTGCGGGTCTCGTATCGGTCTCTTTAGTCACCTCAAAACTCACCAACCTAGATGACATCCCTAACAGCTCATATCATTGTATCATAGCTGGATGATCGGCATAGTCGATTCCGAGTGACAGCAAAGTAGTAGGTGTGCTCCCAGTGTGTTGCTGGGTGTTGTTGATGTGCTATTAGTGTGTTGCTGGGTGTTGTTGATGTGCTATTAGTGTGTTGCTGGGTGTTGTTGATGTGTTGTTGGTGTGTTGGTGTGGTGTTGCTGGTGTGCTGTTGCTGTGTTGCTGGTGTGGTGTTGCTGGTGTGGTGTTGCTGTGTTGCTGGTGTGCTGTTGCTGGTGTGGTGTTGCTGTGTTGCTGGTGTGGTGTTGCTGTGTTGTTGGTGTGTAGTTGTATTGTGTGTGGTGTTGATGTGTGAGTATGAGGGATTTACAACATTGTCTGCTGTTTCATATTTTAAATACTCCAACTCGGTTACAAGATCGCCGAGTGTGTAACATACCAAGTGTTTTGAGTATCCGTCGCCAGGTGTGTAAGACTCCTTCAGGTTCACACACTTCCTTTCCTCGATATTCACGTTTGAGTATCCGTCGCCAGGTGTGTAAGACTCCTTCAGGTTCACACACTTCCTTTCCTCGATATTCACGTTTGAGTATCCGTCGCCAGGTGTGTAAGACTCCTTCAGGTTCACACCTTCCTTTCCTCGATATTCACGTTTTGAGTATCCGTCGCCAGGTGTGTAAGACTCCTTCAGGTTCACACACTTCCTTTCCTCGATATTCACGTTTGAGTATCCGTCGCCAGGTGTGTAAGACTCCTTCAGGTTCACACACTTCCTTTCCTCAATATTCACGTTCTTAAAGTCAAATTGTGATCCAGTATCAGTATACTCGTAAACACCCACACATACAACGCTGTCAACTGGTCTTTATGTGCTGTAAGAGTCTACACCAAGAAAGTATTACTCCAAGGAACTGCTACTACCGCTTATCAGTGAAGATGCCTTGAAGTATGTCGCACTATTTG